TGCAAGGTATGTGTTTTTTTATTTATTTTTCTAAAAATGAAAATCTATTTGTCCAAACTCCTTATGTTTATTTTCTAGTAAGATAAAAACAGAATTGGAATTACTTTATTTTTCACATAAAGTTGCAAGAAAAACACATCCATTCAGGGTTATTCGCTAACGGGAGATATCTCTGACTGAATTAATGAATCCTGATGATCTTAGCCAGTTTCAATGCTTTCCCACATGGGGTACATCTGAAGGCTGGTGACTCAATGCATCTCTATGGGGACCATTAAGCATCTCGATGCAGAGTGTGGAGAGGATGACGTCGGCCCCAGGAAGTCCCTCGAGAGGCTGTCTAAGAGACAGCCACTAGAGATGATGTGAGGCAGCAGTTTAAAAAAAAATCCAGACATAAGTTCTCTCACTTATTCGTTTTTTTAAAATCATGATATATTAATCTAATTTGCCAACTTAAATTAAATGGCATTGAAAAAAATCCTCATATTGCATATCTATTAGCCCAGGTAATTTTGTAGTCCTTTTTGCTGTCAGAACAATGTAACCTTTGTCTGACTGCATGGATTTTATTTCAAAATTATGTCGAACAGAACCATGGCATGGACTAAATTCTGTCCTCCTGAAAAAAAGAAGGAAAATCAGCACAGTACATAAGTCTAATGCCTAGTAGAAAATGCACCAATTAGGATACTCAACAACCATCAAGTAATCATCCCGAGAAGGCCTGTTGAGCCTCTGAGACTGGTGTAAAAATTCAGAACCTCTTTGGTTTAATCGATGAAACCTCCCAAGAATTATTATGGTTATGATAGAAACTATAAATACAAAAATATTGTAACATTTTCCTTTTCCTATCTATTCAGGGTCATGGGCTCTTTGCAAAACTTTGAGGCTTTCTCAGAAGAATTTAACTGCAAGAAGGGTACAAAAATGAATCCTGCAGAGAAATGTCGAGTTTGGTAGACAAGAAGATTCAAAATGGTATTTAAAAAAATTATTACAAAAATGTCTGCTGGGCTGGCTTACACATATTGAACAGTTATAGCCAAAACTGTGGCCTGGTGTTTCCCCTGTTCAGATCAGAGTTCTGGAAAAGTGGTGCAAAGACAGAGTTGAGAGTCGACAGACATACTGTTTTAGGGTTCAACTAGAAAAAAAATGAAGAAGTAAATGATTAGTGCAGTATGTTTTATCTCTGGAATAAAATGCTGTAACTGACTGTTTTAATGGCTTGACTGTTATAAAAAAAATACTGCTGTCAGGTTTTCAAAGACTAGTTTTAAAAATAAATATTTTTCCTCAAATTTATTTCCCTTTTAATAAATGTTATATGTCAGTGTTGCTAACAACCCATTGACGTTTCTGATGTGACTGTCATTATTTGCAACATAATTGTTAACATTTCATTAATATATTTAAAAGCAAAATAAAAAATTTTCAGGTTTAAAATATTAGTAGATAAATTTGCTGTATGTGGGGCAGGGCAAGATGTTGAATGTATCAGTGACAAAAAAAACAACTAATTTTATATGATTCTTATTAAATGTGTTATATAACTAGATTAAGATATGTTGGATAATGGATACGCCTACATTGCAAGACAATCTTGCAGAGTTTTTTAATTAAAAAAAAAATGTATAGAAATTCATATTGTAAGGACATATTTTTCCCACAATATATCTTTAAAAAGTCTCTGTTGGATAAGATATAATGAGATATATAAATATGTGATCATGTAAATTTATATGTGAAAACTTTAATGCTGAGAGTAGATCTGACATAGCGTACTAAAGTAAGAACAATACATATAATGTAATTAATTATCTGCAAAGGTTTTGTGAGATTGTAAAATTACATAGTTCTATATAATAAATTATCATTGCTTCATTGCTTTGTCTTGTTTTCAACAGTTTAAAATTATGGTGATTAGGTATATGTGCAACATTTTTGGGAATTTTCCAAGTAAATAACAGTTAATGAAATGGATTGGTAACAATAATAATATAATTAATGGACAAAATAATAATAAACTAAATAATTGTAATTTGTGTGTGCTTGAATAAAAGAAGATATTAGTTTAAAAACGCAATATGGGCTTTGGGGACCCATGACCCCATTAAACCATCTAAATTCAGGTGCTTATACAATAAATGGTATTTTCACTCATTTACAATATTTTCATGAAGTGCTCAAGCATTAATCCTACAGGAAATACAGGTAAAAGCAATTCCATCTCAGATATATAGATCTATTATTAATTTAACATCATGGGACTCATTAAAAGGTATAGCTATGTAGAGAATGATAAATAGTTTTATGTGTTCTGCATTCAGATGCCAGTAATACTCTGTTCTGTTTTATGTCTTCTATACACTGAACCTAGTGTTTTTTTAAACTTTACAAATTCACAAGAAACTCTAGTGTAAAATCTAGTGGGGGTGGAGGGGAGAGGGCATGTACAGTGACAGATGCAGTGGGTGGAAATAAAATTGCTAATACTTGATGTGGACACAAATTCCCACAATTGGGACAACATACAACATTATATGAAAGAGTGTCGACCTCTGATAATTTTTTTTTTTTTATTATTTTCACTTTGTATAATTTATCTAGTAAACATATCTGCCAAAGTTTTGTGGTTTGTGTCATCTGCTACTACCTATGAATCCATGCCCTAAAACATAAATCCTGTCTATTTTGAGATGGAACCATCTGTTTCCAGCCATTTTATTGACCAATGGAATAAATGTGATGGTGAGGCGCTATATTAAAATAACAAGGCAATATAAACACATATATACCTTTATTTAGAGCCCTATTTTTGGATCCTAGCGTAAATATGAAATTCCTTTAAGTAATAAAAAGAAAGAAAGACCATATCAGTATAGACTGTATGACAAATGGGATATCAAAATATGAAGTCAAGTCACCACTCGAAATTTTTGGAGTTCAATTTATGCGCTTTTAAGGTCCGTAAGGTGACCCTTTCCCTTCTTTCTGAGATTTTCTGAATTTTCTTATCCTATGTAATATTACAAGAAAGAACAAATATGGTGCAATATTGTTTTTCTCCTTTAAGTGGTAAGATTTGAAGATAAATGGTACTCACAAACCCAGAGCCTTCCAGATAGGCTCAAATCAGATAGAGTATGTGGTTAAGGACCACATTCCTTCTTTGTAATTGCAGGAAAAAACTGCCGTAGTGTGTTTGTAAAAAATGTGCACTTTATTTAACTCTAAACATATGTTTATATATAAAAATATAAGATAAGATACAAATTAGAAAACACACAAAATCGGCAATAAACGTCCAATAATAGAGAGTCCTATGCTCACAAATCCCAGTTCACTGCTTTTTGTATTTTATTGACCAAGGTTATTGGGGGGGGGGGGGAGAAGGAATAGGTGGAGAAAAAAAATATTTTAAAAAGATCCTGCAAAGTTACAGTTCTTTTGAAAGTCGTTAAATTAAATTGAACTTAATAGGTACTTCCAGATCCACAGTAAGTTCATATAGAGTGTTTCTAGGTTGTATTGGGTCTTCCTGAACTTTAGCTGCTAAATACTTTAGCTGAAACTTGTGCTTATTCTCCATATTTTCCATATTTATCTACAAAAGTATAACCTATTTTCACGTAAGCGTGAATCAGGACCATCTCCCAATATATTATTAAATTCCTTTGCACTTTGTTGTGGTCTGGTTTTGTAGCCCAAAGAAATACCTTCAATTCCTTCTATTAATAGACTGAATTTTCAATAGATTTTATAGTTATTTATATATAATGTCATGATACCAGGAATGCTATACATGTGTTATTCATTTCAAAGTTAAATAAATAATACCCTAAGCAAAAACCACATTAAATAGGAGTCCTTGTACAATTAAACTAGATCATATGACTGGGTTTAACATTTTCAGTGCACTAAAATAATAGTTTGTATTGTACCACAAATACATGTTCAATATTCATTAACATTATGTTTAAATATCTCTGTACCCTTTCTATCACTTACCTGATTCCAGCTCCAATGTCCCTCAGCGCTGGTTCAGGCTTCGCCTCCGCTCCTCCCCCATAAGCCAGCAGCTATTGCCTCGCTCGCATTAATACTTCTCCTAGAAGAAAGCATTGTATAATGCTTTCCTATGGGGTTTTGGGTTACGCTATGCATGAGGACGTCCAGCGTCAGTTAGGCAACTAAATGGCCCAGAAGTCCTTCTAGTGAATGTCTGGCAGACAGCCACTAGAGGTGGAGTTAACCCCAGCAGGTAATTATTACAGTTTACTAAAACTGCCATAATTTCCGCCACAGGATTAAGTGGCCCGAGACACTGCAACCGCTGAATTGGTCTGGGTGCCTATAATGTTTTTTGTTGAGACTTATTTTAGTCTGGAGTGGTTGAGGTGAATTGCAGCTGCTGAAGTGTTTAGATGGTAAGGCAGAAGATTTGAGCCATACAGACAGGGGAATGGACACAAGCTATAGAGTCCCAAGAGTATTTACATTGGGAAATGATGGCATGTTAAGGCATACAAGGGCTGTGATGGCATGGGATATGTAAGAAAACACACATGGTCATTAATAACATGAAAAGAAAAACTGGGGTAGTTATAACATATCATGATACACAGTGAAGGTAGGTACATGACAGAATATACATGTACAATGACAACAGGACACACTTGGACTATCAGAACTGTGACAGGACACACAGGGTCAGCGAGGACATGGCAGGATACACAAGGACAGTTAGGATACGGCAGGATACACAGGGACATTGAGGAAGACTACACATAGGTACAGACATTAAGGACAAGACACAGAAGAGCAGTGAGGACTGGACACACAGGGACAGACAGTGAGAACAGGACACTCAGGGACAATAATGATAGGTCACACAAGGGCATTGTAAACAGGATGGCGCGGACAGGATACACAGGGTCAGTGAATACATGACTGGATACACAGTGACAGTGAAGACACCCAGACATAGTGATGACAGAACACAAAGGGACAGTAGAAACATGACAGGATAGTACATATAGAGACTGTGAGGACAGGATATACAATGACATGGCCAATGGCCATAAGGACTTGATATCAGGTGTCTACAGGAATCACAGAACCTTTCAACCTTCAACAATCAGTGGATTTACACTAATAGGTAGTATATTGACCATAGGTCCATTAAAGAAACACTCTAAACATGGTGTTGAGTTAATAGTGCCAATAGTGCCCTGCAACTGTGCCATGGTAAGTAGTCAAACTGTTTTAGTGTGGTTTTCCAAATTACCTGGGTACTTCAGGCACCCACGCCACATTTGGTCTTCTACTGCAGAAAAAGCTGGATGTCTCTATAACATAAAATTCACCAAACCAGGTCGTTCCCATTGGTTGAAAGCACCAAGTGTACACAGTCAACCAATAAGCAATGTCTTGCATGGTGCTGCATAGCTTTATAGGACAAACTGACTTCTGATGTGATGCAACAATCAGTGTCAAACAGAACTCACAGGAATTCCCACCTGTATTTTTGGGAACCTCCGTTTTTTATTTAAATGGTTTAACATTGCAAAACAATTTGAGTTAAAACATATTTCAAAAGTATTTTTTTTAAAAAGGAGACTTAGGGATACAAGACAAGACAAGTTAATAATGGAACTGTAAACAACAGAGGATGGATAAGCACTGAACAAAAAGGAAGAGAAAAATAAGGGCAACAATCCTAAAGTAAGGGAGTTTCCTTCAAAGACCCCTAAAAATACAATAGAGGTAGAGAATGTGTATAGGATGCGCCTAATTAGTAAGTAACGCCTAAGTCAATAGAACAACAAATAATTTACAAAAAGTAGGGTGTACTGTATGCCAGTGAACAATTCAAAAAGAAAAACTAAGTACTAAAATATTAAAATATACAAATAATAGCAGACAGTCCCCATAGTAACTGGCTTTCTTCTCTTTAGAAGAAGGTAATTGAGTTTCTTAGATCCAATGGTACATATAAAAAAACAAAAGGATTCAATAGTGCAATAAGTCAGAAACAAACAGAACACACAATACACAAATGTGTGATTGGCAATGCACATGAAGTATAGATTCAAACCAGCTCCAGTACATGTAGCGTACAGTGGTATATATTCCTACTTGTGTATATATATACACGTATATATATATATACAGTATCCCACAAAAGTGAGTACACCCAGGGCCGGCCTTAGGGGTGTGCGAGCTGTGCGACCGCACAGGGCGCCATGGAACAGGGGGCGCCCTGTGGCCGACACAGCTCACTCATGGCCGGAGTGCAGGGGAGCTAAAAGAGGTACCTGGCTGGAGGATTAATTATTCTCCACCCGGGTCTATTTAAAAAAAAAAAAAAAAAATCGCGGCAGAGGGGGCGGGGTTTACCGAGCGGCGGAGGCGGGGCTTATCGAGAGGCGGAGACGGGGCTAATACCTCCCGAAGCCCCTGCTGTACAGGAAGAGGGAAAGATGCTTCCCCATCAGCCAACTGCATCCACTGGAAAGAGGTAAGTGTGTGTGTGTGACTGTTTGCCTGTTTGTGTGACTGTCTGTCTGTGTGTGTGTGTGACTGTCTGTCTGTGTGACTGCCTGCCTGTGTGCGTGTGACTGTCTGTGTGACTGTCTGTGTGACTGCCTGTCCTTGTGTGTGTGTGTGTGTGTGACTGTCTGTCTCTGTGTGTGTGTGTGACTGTCTCTGTGTGTGACTGCCTGCCTGTGTGTGACTGTCTGTGTGTGTGACTGTCTGTCTGTGTGACTGCCCATGTATGTGACTGCCTGTGTGTGTGACTGTCTGTCTGTGTGACTGCCTGTGTGTGTGAGACTGTCTGTCTGTGTGAGACTGTCTGTGTGTGTGACTGTCTGCCTGTGTGACTACCTGTGTGTGTGACTGCCTGTATGTGACTGCCTGCCTGCCTGTGTGTGTCTGTCTGTAACTATCTGTCTGTGTGTGACTGCCTGCCTGTGTGTGTGACTTTCTATCTGTGTGACTGCCTGTGTGTGTATAACTGTCTATGTGTGTGTTACTGTGTGTCTGTCTGTGTGTGTGACTGCCTATGTGACTGTCTGTCTGTGTGTGTCGCTGTAGCTGTGCCATTGTTTGTGCCTGTGCCTGTATGTGTGACTGCCTTTAACTGAGTGTGTGTGTACATGCCTGTAACCGAGTTTAAATTTCCCCCACCCCTTCCTGTCAAGGCCGCACTTTGACTGACAGACGCTCACTCACTGACAGACGCACACTCACTGACAGACACACACTCTCATATACACTGACAAACAATGACATACACACATACACTATTACTTGGACACACACTGACAGATGCACACTCTCACTGACAGACGCAAGCACTCACTGAAAGATGCACGACTCCACTGACCGACACATACACACTGACTGACACACACTCACTGACCGACACACACTCACTGACCGACACACACTCACACACTCACTGACCTACACACTCACTGACCTACACACTCACTGACCGACACACACTCACTGACGACACATACACACTCACTGACGACACATACACACTCACTGACTGACACATACACACTCACTGACTGACACATATACACTCACTGACCAACACACACATTCACTCACAGACACACACACATTCACTTACAGACACACACAATTACACACACAGACACACACACACATTCACTTCAAAATAAACACTCACAGACACACACACAGACATTTCCACTAACACTCACAAACTAATATTTTTTACATTTATTTTAAATCCACCCAGCCTCCCTGGGAAAGCTGGAGTGGATTTCTTACCAGCAGTCCAGTGTGGCTGCTGGGCAGGCAGGCAGGGGGCGCACAGGCTGAGTAAGCAGCGCTTAGTGATGCCGGGAGCCGGACTGACGTCATATTCTGGCTCCCGGCTTCATTAAGCGGCGCAGAGGAAGCTGAGCAGGAAGAGCTCAGGTGAGTATGCTCCTTCGCTGCCCGCTGCCAGCCTTGGGGGGGCTCAAAAGTGGCCAGCCGGTCAGCTCTTGAGCCCCCCAGGATGCGAGGCAAGCAAGGGATCTGCCTGGGGGTTTGGAGGGATGCTTTTTTTTGCCGCCCCCTGCAAAGTGGCGCCCAAGGCAGATGCCTTGTTTGCCTCGTGATACACACGTCCCCGGTGCCTGTGTGTGTTACTGTATTCAGGCAACTTGGTGGGAGGTGGGGGGGGCGCCGTGAAGACTTTTTGCACAGGGCGCCTAATTGCCTAAGGCCGGCCCTGAGTACACCCTTCACATTTTTGTAAATATTTTAGTATATCTTTTCATGTGACAACACTGAAGAAATGACATTCTGCTACAATGTAAAGTAGTAAGTGTACAGCCTGTATAACAGTGTAAATTTGCTGTCCCCTCAAAATAACTCAACACACAGTCATTAATGTTAGCAACAAAAGTGAGTACTCCCCTAAGTGGAAATGTCCAAATTGGGCCCAAACTGTCAATATTTTGTGTGGCCAATTTGATGCAGTGTGCGGCGTATGATCTGAGCACTGACAGACTGACCCCCCCGCCACCCATTCAACCTCTGCAGCAATGTTGGCAGCACTCATATGTCTATTTCCCAAAGACAACCACTGGATATGACGCTGAGCATATGGCACTCAACTTCTTTGGTCAACCATGGCGAGGCCTATTCTGAGTGGAACCTGGCCTGTGACACCGCTGTATGGTTTTGCCCACCGTCCTGCAGCTCAGTTTCAGGGTCTTGGCAATCTTCTTATATCCTAGGCCATCTTTATGTCGAGCAACAATTATTTTTTTCAGATCCTCAGAGACTTCTTTGCCATGAGGTGCCATGTTGAACTTCCAGTGACCTGCATGAGAGTGTGAGAGAAATAACACCAAATTTAACACACCTGCTCCCCATTCACACCTGAGACCTTGTAACACTAGCAAGTCACATGACACCGGGGAGGGAAAATGGCTAATTGGGCCCAATTTGGACATTTCCATTTAGGGGTGTACTCACTTTTGTTGCCAATGGTTTAGACATTAATGGCTGTGTGTTGAGTTATTTTGAGGGGACAGCAAATGTACACTGTTTTACTTTAAATTGTAGCAGAGTGTCATTTCTTCAGTGTTGTCACATGAAAAGATATACTAAAATATTTACAAAAATGTGAGGGGTGTACTCACTTTTGTGAGATACTGTATATATACATGTCTTTGTGATATTTTCAACAGCAGGATAGCAGATCATGGGAACCATACAAACCAGAACAAAAGGAAACCATTTAATGCTCTCTGTGTAAAAACGTAATATGCATAAAATACACTATCACTGCCTTATTTAAAAAAAAAAAAATGAATCACTAAACTTCAGGCAATGCTCAAAAACTGGACAACCCACGATTTATGATGGGTTCTCTGTCAAGATGAGTGTATTACCACTGATCATATATTTATTCCACACTCTCCAAGTTCAACTACCTAAATGAATCTTACAACATCTACAATGTACTCTGAATACCCACATTGGGAAAAAACATTCTCCAAGAGTAGCCATGGCAACTATTAGAAGGGCTCCAAAGATGCGTCGTCTATCTTAGCTCAAACATTGGCTACTACAACCGCAAACAATGTTCCTCTATGGTGTAACTTAGAAAGAGCATATTTAACTCCATACACTGAAGCTCAGTTGTTGTGTTCCCTGGAGCACCTTTTCCAGAAATTTAAAAATATGTTGACGACTTAAGATCTGGAGACTATGGGTATTAAAACTTCTCAAAACATATTCTCACTATATTTAGACCCACTTAATATGTTACAACTCTACACACCTTAATCTAAAACATTGGCATCAATCCGACATTCACAATGTTTCCAACTTGTTACATAATGGTCAACTTATTCCTTTCCCAGAAACCAAGAACAAATACTCTTCCGGGAAGATAAATATTTACTTATCTCCAAATTAAATACACTCTTCAACCTCATATGCTCGACATTCCCACCGACCCTGACCTTTCATAATTTCTTAAACTTTACCTCTGGACCTAAATACAAGTTAAACCGCTCGCCACATGCTAACTATTAATAAATTACAATTACAATCAGAAACCATACTTTGCTTGCCAATGGGAAAAAAGAACAACAGCAATCATTTCCAATATAAGACTAGAATACGGCTTTTGCAGCTATATCAAATGTATCCAAGTGTACCTCACTTTGGTAAACAAGTAAAAACTAATTATTTAACTCCCAAAAGACTACAACACATATATCCCACGACAACGAGCGAATGTTGGAGATACCAGGCTGAAGAGTTCTCTTTGCTTCATTTTGTCTGGAGCTGCTGGAAATTAAAGAAATACTGGTCAAATATTCAAGACATTTTGCAGGTATTGCTGAAAACTACCTTACCACTCCTACCCCATTTATACATGCTAGATATGCTGCCAAACTCACTATCGCAGGCACAGAGATCTATGTCTCTACATGTCCTTACAGCAGTCAAAAAATTGTGCGAAACATTTGAAATCAGTTATGAGTCCGCAAGTTTCCTTAGTCATTAGTGCACTCAAATCAACAAACTGTATGAAGAGATGATACACAGGGGCCTTGTGTCCATAAAGAAGATTCACAACATTTGGAATACACGGGAGGAACACTACAATAACTAACCAGAAACACTACCCTTAACAAGGGCAGATTTCACTGGGTTCTCCGTTCCCCCTTTCAACCCCCACCTACATACCTCCCAAATACCCCTGAAATCATTAAATATGTACATATTGTTAAAACATTGATCTGATGCTATATTATAAATGAAAGATTGTGCTAAAAAAAAGATGTTATGTACAATAATAATTTCTCTTTATTGTTAAAATGCTGTTGAAATACTATTACTTACCTTTTTTTGTATGTAAAAAATTAAAGTCTTCAATAAAGATTACACATTTAAAAAATGCATAAAATAATTAAGCTATATGAAAATAATACAGATAAAATAAACTACTTAATTAAAAAGTAAGATAAACAACATACAGAAGAAGAACAAATTTAGGACTAAAATGTAAAAAGAAAAGCAAACTTAAAAAGTTTACAAGTATGGATGCATTTATGTTTTTAAATAAAAAGTAAAATTTACTTTGAAAGCATAAACTTTTTGACTCAAAATACGGAATTCTTGCTAAGTCATAATAAGGTGTATATAAAGTCAACGAGCAAAGATATAGCCAATTGTATGATCTTTACTTCAGCTAGAAAAAGAGCTACATCAAATGCAAGCAAGAGAGGTGTGAATCTAAATAATGGTCAGAGAGGACACTTTCAATATTTTATAAATATTATTTATAAAGTGCCAACAAATCCCGCAGCGCTTTACAATGGGTGGACTAACAGACACGTATTTGTAACCAGATGAGCTTGACTCACAGAAAATGAGGGGGTTTCTCAAATGAGCTTACATGCTAGAGGGAGTGGATAATAGTAACACAAAAAGTAAGGGTAGGGTAGAAAACTAGGTTGCTAGAATAGTATTCATTGAAATTTTAGTGTGGTTGTTTTTTGTTTGTTTTTTATGAAAGTTGCAGGAGAGGAATAAAGTTGCTGGAACGGAAAGGGAAAGCTATTAAGAGTTTAATTGATAAACTTTCATGAAGAAGTGAGTTTTCAATTATTATTTTTAGGAATGGGGACTGGGTGGGAGTCTAACGGAGAAGGGAAGGGAGTTCCACAGGAATGGTGCAGTCCTAGAGAAGTCTTGCTATATTTTTTAGATGAAAGCGGCAGGATTTGGCGATCAACTGGAAATGAGGGGTGATGGAGAGGTTGGAGTTGAAGAGAACACCTAGGCAGTGAGCCTGCAGGGGAAGACCTGACGGTAGCACTGCTGACTTAGAGGGAAACAGACACGAGAGTAGCAAAATTTTAGGGAGGAAATACCAAAAGTCCTGTTTTGGAAAGGTTAAGTTTAAGGAAGTGAACAGCCAGCCAGTTAGAAATAGTAGAGAGACAGTTAGAGACATGAATTAAGAGGCATGGTAAGACATTGGGAGAGGACAGATTGATTTGTGTGTCATCTGATAGAACAGTAGGGGACAAAGGACATAACCTTGGAAAACACCAACAGAGAGGTGTTGGGGAGAAGAGGCAAAGCCAGAGAAAGAACACAGAAAGATCGCTGGGAAAGGTAGGAGGAGTACCAGGAAAGAGCAGTATCTCATATACTGAGATTATGGAGATGAGAAGAAGCTGTTAATGATGAACATGTGTCAAAGGCAGCAGAAGGGTTTAGGAGAATTAGGATAGGATACAGACCACAAGATTTTTCAGCAATTAAATCAATGGCTACTTTGGTCAGAACCGTTTCAACAAAGGGATGAGCATGGAATCCAAACTGAAGCGTGTCAAGCAGAGAGTTGGATTCAAGGAACAAATAAGCTATTGTTTATACATATTATGTTGGCTGTGAAAATCAGCTTGGCACGCTATTGGAGGTTAAACATCTACAGAGTAAAAACAAAATTATTTCACACATTGACTACCAATACTCTATGAAAACATACTCTTTTAGAAAGCTAAATTAAAGAATATATAGAAGTTTGGTTATTCAGAGCACATGTTATTCCCGTTTAAATAGCGCTGTTCCACGTTAATCTCTTTACCGCCCTCGGACTTTAATATAGGTGCTTATGTAATATTTTTGCACAATCTAATCTAAATGTTTTGTAATCTTTTTCCTGCGTAGCATTAAATGTTGTATCTGGTTAATGTGTATCTACCAGTATCTGTTATAAATTCTGTATAAATGTGAATATTACTTATATTTGATGAGTTGTAATAAGATGGAATTAATGCAAGTATGATATGTCTTGTTTGTGATATAAACTTCTCAATAAAAATATTTTATCCAAAAAAAAAAACACCCTTAACTATTCTACTAAAAGATAGCAATAAAAACTAATCGTGACAAAAAAAAAAAATTATTCACAGAGTGTAAATATTGAAGTGGCAAATCAGCATCTGTTTCAATGCTATAATGCATAACCAATATTCAGCATTTTGAAGAGTGAGCAGTGAGAGTAGTCCAAATCAGGCCGTGTATTATAGCTATAAAATGTATGACTACTTTTGATTTTAAAGGAAAGATTTGTGTTTCTTTCTAGCCAACCTCTACACATGGAGAGTATTTGGAATAAGGCATTGGACAGACATTATTAAAGACGAATATTTGACTAAGAATACACACTTTAGCAGAACAACCCAACCCCAATCATTGCCTCCCCCCCTCGCACCTCCCAAGTAATATACTGTGAGTATGACTGTGTAGTGGGTGACATCAGCTACACATTGCTGACAAGACCCAAAGAAGGACAAAACGATTGTCTGGCACAAATGAGCAAAAACTATTTTGAGACCTGAGCAGGGATTTATCAAAAGGGCGAGCTATTGGGTTCCTCTATTGTTTTTTTTCCAGTCGCAGAGTTCTCTTATTCTCTGTTTTTGTTGAAAAACAAAAGTGGACCCCGTGCTCACTGTGGTTAGGGGGGTATCAGCTACACCTTCCTGATGAGGCTCAAAGAAGGCCGAAACAATCGGCAAAGAGAACTTGCAGATATTTCAGCTCTCGACTGCCAAGTCTGATATGCCTTGGTACTAGTTCACTCTGTAATGGCACAAACGAGCAAAGCCTATTTTGAGACCTGAGCGGGTATTTACGGAAGCGCAGTTGGAATGAGATCTGGGGAATTTGGAGGCCAAGGCAATATCTTGAACTCTTTGTCATGTTCCTCAAATCAATCCTAAACAATTTAAGTGTTACTCTAGTAAGATGGTACATGTCAAAGTAACATCCACATGAATGCCAGGATCCAATGTTTTTAGCAGAACATTGCTCAGAGCATAACACAATTTTCCATCGTGCATCCTGCTGCCTTTACTTCCCCAGGTAAATAATGCACACACACCTGGCCATCCATCTGATTTAAAAGAAAATGTGATTCATCTGACCAGTCAACCTTTTTCCATGGCTCCGTAGTTTCTCTGAAACTGCTATGTTTATAAAAAAAAATGGGTTAACCCTAGCTGGACCAGGCACCCAGACTACTTCATTAAGCTGAAGTGGTCTGGGTGCCTAGAGTGGTCCTTTAAGAGTTGACAAAGGTTTATCCATAAAATAAATAAATCAGGATTCTCTGACTGGCTCTACTTTTCTATAAATCTTATGGAACTTGCAGGTACCTGCCTGTTTTTGTGTTTTTTTTTTTTATTTTATTCATTTTTTTACTTTTTTTCTGCACAGAAAAGTGTTAGTATTCTAATTTTTTTTTTCTTTCAAATGTTCTACTGTCTAGGTTTGAATTACATGTGCCCATTGTAGCCTTGATTTTTATTTTATTTTTTTAATAAATAGTCTTTAATTTTTTCATATATTGTACAAAAACATCTCAAAACATTATAGGCTTATACATCATAGCATACAATTATACATTTAGATATCCTTTTTCATATTCCATCTCTTAAATCAGTAAAACATCTAAATATATAAGCATGGCCTACAACAAGGACACTAACTCACTTGGACATAAAACAAACTAGTTTTAAAAAAATACAGATCAGGAGTTATTTATTATATTTATCTAATAGTGATATCTGCTGTACTTTTTGTAAGGTAAACAAATAGAATCATACTTTCAAATTATTTTAAACCATCGATGATATATCTCTTGTTTTTTTATATTGCTCTGGATTTAAATTAGCCGATTCTTTTTCCATATGAAATTGTAATTTCAATTGATATAAATACTGATGTTTTTGGAATTCCATATTGGCACTGTAGCCTTGATTTAATGTTCTCAAGTAACAGGAGTGGAGTATTTAGAGATTCTATTTTATGTAGTCCTTAAGCAGTGCATGCTTATTTTAGCTTCTGTCTCCTTGCTGTCAATTTGTACCAGTCTGGCCATCCTTCCCTGATGTTTCTTACTTACCAAGTATTTTAGCCCACTCAACGGTCACTCACTGGCTGTTTCTGCATCTTTCGCACCATTTTATAATAAACAGTAGAGACGTTTGTGGACGAACATACCAGACAGTCAGCCGTTGCTGAGATATGAAACCACCAGTTTGGCATCAACAATAATTCCACTGTCAAAGTCATTTAGATTGAATTTCTTTCCTTTCTTGGTATTTGATTTAAACAGCAATTCACTTTCACAACATTCATTAAGTTGCTGCCACATTACTTACTTATTAGATATCTGCATAAACAAGCATAAAATGATCACTGTGTATATAATAGTGATCATCAAATTAAGTTAGTATCTGATAAATTTGGAGGTCTTTGATGCAATCACAGGTTAAGTATCATACGGCCAAAATATACAACTAAATCTTTTTTTTTTTTTCTGTTTTAAAGTTGCAAAAAACTTTTGAACCCCCTGGAATTACCTTGATTTCTATATTGATTTATTTTTATAATGTGGTCTGATCTTCTGCAAAATTACAATAATACATACATATAAATTTCTTAAACTAATAACACACAAAACCTCTTCTTTTTTATGTGGAACATGATGATCAAGCATTCATGTACTTAGCAAGAAAACAGGCCACATTTTTATAATAAATTTATTCCAGTACGTACGGCGTACTACCCCACCATTACTCAGTAGGGCACATAACGCAAACTACCCGCACCCTCCTAGGCAAGTACTTGCACAACCTTTGAGTAGACATGAGGGGGCTCAGCTTGACTTAACATAAAAATGGGTGGAAACATTATCTGTGCTGTTATACATGCTAAACACTGTTTTTTATACCTTATGCTTATTGTTCCTTTATGCACAAGATGTAAAGTGATCTATACACATAACCGCAAAAATAAAGAATTAAAAAAAAAATCATTCCAGAATTCAGGTAATTCTATATATTATTATATATCCAAATACTAAAGTTTTATTGCAATGCAGTGTATTTTCTGGATATAGGATATTTTTCACAATATAAGCATATTGTGATGGGTCTATGTACTAATATTTTGTAGAGATCTGTAGTATTTAGTCTTTGTGAACTAGAATTAAACTAATTGTATAATTCAGCACTAACATCCTATTTTTAAGCCAGTAGAGTAGTTATTTTGAGGATTAAAACTAAGTTTTCATAATTTGAAAAATGAGTCCTAGAATATAGAAAAACATTTGGGATATTACGCAAATTGGCACAGACAAAAACAAGAAAACAACACAAAGTACGTCATGCAGTGTTTAAAGTTGAAGAAGATTGTAAAATATAACAAATTTAAATGACAGCTTTCTGATTAGAGAATACGTGAGCCCAGAATTTTGAAACACATCTCAGACATTCTGGAGTCTTGTAATCAAACAGCCTGTCAAAAGGAGAAAAGTTATATGCTGAGTGAGAAGTATACATTACTTCAATTGCCATGTAACTGACATATACTCTGGTAGAAGAATAGAACATATTATGTAAAATGAAAAAAACAGAAACAAAAACTTCATATTGAAATGCATTTCAGAGCCAACATGGTCTAAATATGCACTTAATTTTATTATATGTCAGCAATTTGTACCAGGGGGCATTTAGTAAACCCCTGGCATGAACCCTTTGGTGAATGCGGGCATTGTAAGAGCTAGTAGCCTCTTGGCTTATTATTTAACTTGTTTGGTCTAGCACCAGAGCATATACTGTGAGGGATTAGGAAAGGCAATTGCAAGAGATAAAATGGGGTCAGAGTAACTCCTGTTTTGTGGGGGTTTTTTTTAAATGTATTAATGTATAATATATTATTTTAAATACTACTAGAATTTCCCATAAAAAGGAAATAAATATGTAGGAAATATGCATGCTTCTTTCTTATATTGTTTATCGAAATATGTTACAATTGTCAATTTAACACTATAGTCACCAAAACAACTTTAGCTTAATGAAGCAGTTTTGGTGTCACTGCTCAATTCTCTACCATTTAGGAGTTAAATCACTGTTTATGAACCTTGGTCACACCTCGCTGCATGTGACTTGCATAGCCTTCCTAAACACTTCCTGTAAAGAGTCATCTAAAGTTTATCCTTCCTTTATTGCAAGTTCTGTTTAATTTAGATTTTCTTATCCCCTGCTATGTTAATAGCTTGCTAGACCCTGCAAGAGCCTCTTGTATGTAATTAAAGTTAAATTTACAGAGAAAGAGATACAATTGTTTAAGGTAAATTACATCTGATTGAAAGTGAAACCAGTTTTTTTCATGCAGGCTGTGTCAATCAGGGCCAGGGGAGGTGTGACAAGGGCTGCATAAACCGAAACAAAGTGAGTTAACTCCTAAATGGCAGTGAATTGAGCAGTGAAAGCTGAGAAGCATGCACTAAAACTGCTTAATTAAGCTGAAGTTGTTTAGGTGACAATAGTGTTCCTTTAAGATTACAAATTTTATCTCATTACATTTACATTGACATTTCTCAAACTACACTGTGTTATATAGTTTTAGGTTAACATAGAAACATAGGATGTGACGGCAGATAAAAACCTTTGGGCCCATCTAGCCTGTCCAATTTTCTACTTTATACTTTTAAAATGATTATATGTACATTTACTGACTGATGTTCTGCCTATGGATGCAGCATTAATGAAGAAAAAAAAACATTCTTAAAGGGACACTATAGTCACCTGAACAACTTCAGCTTAATGAGGTTGTTCAGGTGAGAACTATAGCTCCCTGCAGCCTTTCTCATGTAAACACTGTATTTCTCAGATCTGCTGTCAGCAGAGCACAGGGCAGCACTGCACAGCATCCTGTGATTCAGTATCTCCTCCCTCTGCATGCAGACACTGAACTTTCCTCATAGAGATTCAGTGATTCAATTCATCTCTATGAGGAGATGCTGATTGGCCAGGGCTGTGTTTGAAACATGCTGGCTCTGCCCCTGTTCTGCCTCTTTGTCAGTCTCAGCCAATCCTATGGGGACGCACTGTGATTGGATCAGGCTACCACATGTCAGCAGACTGCTTGTTTTTATGAGTCTAACAGCATGCAGAGTTACAGCTTCTGGCTTGAATACAGTAAGATTTTTACTATATTTATGGAGGCATGAGGGGCCCAGGGGGCTAGATGGTGGTGTTAACACTATAGGGTCAGGAATACATGTTTGTGTTCCTGACCCTGTAGTGATCCTTTAAATACAGAAAAAAAAAATAATAATTAAACCAGTAGCAAAATCAATTAGAATTAATTAATACATAAATAGATATATGATTCAAACCAATGGATGTTCGGCGTCAGTCATTCTCAAATGACTATTCCCTCGCCATTTATGTCACCCAATAAATATTAGCATTCTCCCTTTCCTTACATCTTCATAAACTAAAAAAAAATAACAAGTTTAAAATTCAAATTTTATTTTATTTCTCTCAAATGAAAAAGATCTTCCAATACTTGGTTATGTAAAATCTTCAGTTGCACTTTACAATCCTGATAGCAATTAAACACTCCAGCTCCCACATGTATTACAGTTATATCTGACATTGATGTGAATGCCTCAGTCTTGATAATAAATACATCTTTATCTTTGTAACTCTCTTTACTCTCACCTTGTTATGCTGTGCAGAATTGTTTTACACTGTTGACAATGACAGTGTTTTGTACTGCAGCTAACAAAAGTTATTTTGTTATTAATTCAAAGTTAAGAAAAATAATCAGAACTGCTCCTGCGATACATAGTATCTGATTTAACCCCTTAAGGACCAAACTTCTGGAATAAAAGGGAATCATGACATGTCACACATGTCATGTGTCCTTAAGGGGTTAAAGAGCACCTGTTTATATACACAAGATGCATTCTTGAAAACATTTGTTTTTGTCATTTAGCAATTTTGTATTTTACAAGCAAGGAAATACACCCAATACAACTATAGTATTTAAAAAGGGTCAAGGTTAGTATGCACACCCTACCCGCAGTGCTTAATCAGGAACAAAGGACATTAAAATGGCCGAACTTAACGCAATGCCCTCAGTAGGCGAAATATCAGAGTCAAGGAAAACCGGCAGAGGTCGGAGATTCCAGAAGACACAATAACAGTAAGCCAAGATAGGTCAAGGAGTACAGAGATAAGAGGAGTCAGGCAAGGAGAGATTGATGGAGTAATATGTGGACCCTTTGGGGAAGGACCTTTTGTTGAAGGCACCTTATTATAATGTAAGATTTGATGTCCTTTTAATCTGGTGCCTTCTTATATTCATTCATATTAAGGAGGACTCATCTATAAGACTCCATGTACATTACCGTTTACCACATTGATGCTGATTTACCTGAGCCAGTGATTCACAGGCTCAGTAAAATGTGAGTGAGATGTGTATAAGATAAATTAATTTGCATTCTGTGTATGATATACCAGCAACTTTCTCTTTCAGCAATATCTGTGAGGCGTTTATACAGGGTATTTATTCATTATTGGTTTAACACACTCAGTCATTTTGTATACTTATTGTGAGTGCCTTCACAAAGTGCTCCACCCACTATACTTATTTCTGGTTATTGCTTTCATGGTGAAATTAGGCAATTGATTTCACACTGGGGATTTGTTGCACCAAGATTTTAGCACCATTTTTTATTTTGCACAAACTTGTATATTTAAGCAGAGATCAGGAAATCACAGATAATCAGGAATGCGCTATTGGGATCACACAGAAACCACAGAGTGCACTAAAGAGATTGAAAATTCTTGCTAGCCACACCCCCAAAACCAAAATGCACATCAGCAATGGTGTGATGGCACAACGTGGGTGTGGCTTGCTTATATTATAAAAGGTGTGGAGCTACAGTGTCTGACGTCAGAAACGCTGGCAAAGGTGTCTGAGGATGTGTAACTGATGTCTTTCTCCCTCCAGGTGAGTGGCATAGTTCAAGGCTATGTTTCTTTTCTAGTTTAAAGGTCCAGATGGAACCAGGCACAGAATTTCATAATAATTCATTGTAATTATTAGTTAATTGTAAAAGAATTTCCAAATGAGGAGGAGAAATCTAAATATTTCTTAAATTCTCCCGTTCTCTGTATGTCTTTCTCTTTGTTGACTGGCAGATGCAAAGGACAGAGAGTTTATAACAATGATTGACAAGCAGCTAGAATGGAGGTGCCCAACTGCAGCATAAAGAGCTGTGGATTGCTACATTTAATGTTTTTTCACATCTCATGAATATATATTTGTAAAATGTAGATAATAAGCAGGGCCGAACTGCAACTGCTGCTACTATATATATATATATATAAAATGTGATTCTTTGCTAAACTAATTTGCATATGCCCACCCAGAATCCTTTGCGGTTGTAACATCACTGCTGATTTGGGATTTCTGTGGGAAAAGCAAGTCTTATGGCTTAACTGGTGTGCAGATTTTTGTTTAGCATTGTATTAACTATATATATATATATATATATATATATATATATACATACATACATACATACATACATACATACATACACACACACACACACAAGTATAGTGGCACTCACCCTTTCAATGAATCAGTAAAAGACTGCCTTGGTGCAATCCCACGCTGGATATGTAAAGCAAAAAGGAAAGAGATGCACTCTCAGGTCTTTGTAGAAAAAAACTCGATATTATTTAATAACAGGTAACATACATCTGATCGACGTTTCGACCTCTTCAGGTCTTCCTGAAAAGGTCGAAACGTCGATCAGATGTATGTTACCTGTTATTAAATAATATCGAGTTTTTTTCTACAAAGACCTGAGAGTGCATCTCTTTCCTTTTTGCTATATATATATATATATATATATATATATATATATATATATATATATACACACACACACACACACACACACATACACATACATATATACACACACACACACACACACACATATATATATATTTCTAATTAAAAATATTAGTCCTTTCAGGGTAATTAAATTATACAGTAAAGCATACTCACACGTAGACACATACAATCTTATTGACTAAGTCATACACAGGCACACACAGACAAGCTTACTTGTGCACACACACAAATTTAGTACAGACAAACTGTTATACACACAAGCTTACTACAGACAAGCTCACTGAAGCGAACACACTCTCCCTACAGACACGCCCATTGACACACACACTCCCTAAAGAAGAGCTCACTAACACACAGATTCACTACAGACAAGCTCACTGACACACACATCTTAACTAGATACAAGCTCAATGACACACACATGGTCACTACAGACAAACTCACGGTCACACACATGCTTACTACAGACAAGCTAACTGCACACACATGCTCACCACAGACAAGCTCAGACACACTCATACTCCCTACAGACAAGCTCACTAACACACACGTGATTCCTACAGAGAAGCTCACTAACACACATACAAGCTCACTCACTAGCAGACAAAGTTCACTCACTAGCAGGCGCACACACACAAACTCACTCACTAGCCGGCACACACACACACACTCACTAGCAAGCACACACACACAGAAGCTCCCACACTAGCACATAGCTCACTCACTAGCAGACGCGCACACACACACACACAGAAGCTCACTCACTAGCAGGCACACACACAAACGTGAAATAAAAACACTAGGAGTCAGCACTAGTAAACCAAGACAGAACAATATGAGTAAGGCAGCAACCCTATACAAGGGTTCCCTCAAAAACCCTTGAAGATAATCAAAGACAGGTAGCACAAAGGTAGGGTAGGGTTGCGCCACAGATTAACAATAAAATATAGGTATATATGTGTATAGTTCCAAAAGTCTTGTATAAAGTACTTGAGATCAATAGGGTCTTTGGAGCCAGAGTATGGTGGTCCTTGCACTTCGCTGATGTCTGTATATACAGAGAGGGGCGATAAAAAGTGAAGAAGCTAATAGTGCATTAAGTCTTAATGGGTACAAATAAGACAGTAAAATAATAGGGTTACACTCACATTTGGTAGAGCTTAAGCCAGCTCTGGTGTGTATAGCGTGCAGCAGTACAATCCCCAATTAAAGGATATGGCATGAGTGTTCGTGATGATGAAGGTGTCGGGAACCTAAAATGACATAATAAAAGGCAACAATAGTGCTCTCAATAAAATATAAATAGTCAGTAAGATATATTAAAAATTATACTCACAAAGGCAGAGCAAGCCAACTGCTCTATGACAACAGTATCGGTGGTATGATCCCCACCTGGCATTAGTTGTTTTGAACCTCCTAGCTTGTCTGCAGAGCTCTCTTAAAAAAAAAAAAACACACACACACACACACAAACTCACTCCATAGCAGACACACACACACACACACACACACAAGCTCACTCACTAGCAGGCACCCACGCACACAAGTTCAATCACTAGCAGGCACACATACACACACACAGAATCTCCCTCGCTAGCAGATGCACACACACACACACAAACTCACTCACTAGCAGATGCACACATACACACACAGAAGCTCACTCACTCACTAGCAGACACACACACACTCACTAGCAGATGCACACACATACACACACACAGAAGCTCACTAACTCACTAGCAGATGCAAACACATGCACACACACACAGAAGCTAACTCACTAGCAGGTACACACACAGAAGCTCACTCACTAGCAGATGCAGACACACACGCACACACAAAAGCTCACTCACTAGCAGTTACACACACACACAGAAGTTCACTCACGAGCAGATGCACACATATACAGGAGCTCACACACTAGCAGGTACACACACACACACACACACGCTCACTCACTAGCAGATGCACACACACACAAAGAAGCTCACTCACTCACTAGCAGATGCAAACACACACACACACACACACACACAAGCTCACTCAGTAGCACACACACAAAGCTTACCTGGCACTGGTAGGTGAAGGTGTCAATGTCTGGCCTCTTAATTCCAACGAGAACAGCAGCTTCCATCTGGGGGAGTGGCTTGTGTTTGGGAGGTGGTGCTTAAGTGCGGGGGCGGGGCATGTGGCAGTAATTGCTGTACACTGTGCTGGGAGACTGACAGGTCTCCCTCTGGCCGCAAGCAGAGTAATTGCGGCCGCACCAGCCCCTAGCTCCTCCCTCATTACTCCCCTCAGACTGACACAGGCTGGCACAGTCCGAGGGGAGAATCATTTAAATTACATGTGCCTGATGAGTGATGATTAGGACGGTCAGCCCAGCCCCAGGTGCCGCTGTCCACCAGGAAATTTTCCCTTATCTCGGTGGGCCAGTCCGGCCCTGATAAGTAAATATAATACTTAAAATCCCAGAAAGTGAATGTTCTCCTTTAAAGGGGCTCTATAGGCACAAAGACCACTTTATTTTAGTGAAGTGGTCTTGGGGCCAGGTGCATGTCATTTTAACCCTTCAGCTAAAAACATTGCGGTTTTGTAGGAACGGGAAGACAGCCACTAGAGGTGCGGTGTCAAACTCAGTTATAACTTAAATAACTAATTGAAAACCTATGACTGGCTCCCTGCTGCATTTCACAGTGCATGTGTACTTGCCTCCCAATGCTTCTCTATGGGGAAACATCGGATCATCAATGCTGATGTTCACCGGCACAAAGGCAGATCGGCAGGCTGCATGATATAAGGTTAGTAAAACTTGCCTTTTAAACTCATGCAAGGGTGGTGGACACCTAGATCGGTAAGGGAACACTATAGCATTCAGAATAAATGCTCTGTATTTTTAAGCTGTAGTGTTCCTTTAAATCATTGAAAACTAAAGTCATTCATAGTTTAGAGTAAGGGGGCTAGTTCAGCTTGAAGGGACCCTGAAAGGGCAGTTTGTGCTCTAATCACAGGCCTATGTAGCAGGTTGAATTTACCCAATGGATTGAATCCTTCAGGTCTTTAATTACAGGCTGTGTTTATTCGAAAATTCATAATAAAGAACATTAATGGGAAAACAAGCTTACAACCTTCACCTTGATCATTTTAATAATAATAACGTTTTTTTTTTTTTGTTTTTTTTTTTATCGTCTGGGTTTTGTGTGTCTTGGATTGAATCCAAAATAGAGCATGGAAATTTCCATTCTATAAAATGCTGGATGATTACCCAGGCTAAATAAGTCAGATTTATAACATTGCTCTGATCACTCTGCCGCTGTCAAACAACCAGGAACACGGGAATTTGCATGTTGCATTAGTTAAAATGTAATTTGAATACCAAAAGCAATAATTAAAAAAGACTATTTTTGGAGACAAAGACAAAGAACTGCCAACTATTGCCCACGCATGCACCTTAAGGGCAGGGATAATATCCAAAATACAGAGACAAGAAAAAATTAGCGATAACTTGTGAAGTATGTGAAACATTGTGCAACAGTATCCAAGAACTACAGGATTTGTTGACGACCAGTGACAGATATAAATCTTCAAATCTACAACTGTAATCACTACTCAATCACTGACTGAAATTGAAAAGACAGGTTTGAAATTATCATTTAGTTGAACAGAGATTAAGTTTATATTTATGAAGAATGTACACATGTAGGGGGCCAAGAAACTGCAGTCAGTTCTCATTTACTAACAAGTGTGAATGACTTACACAATTTGGTAAAAAATGCATATTCCAGTGTAGGCTTCTGCACATTTTCCTTAAAAGCCTACCCAACCAATCAAAATCATGACAACCTACCAATACCCTTAAAAGACTTATTGACGTGGATCAGATGATTGTCCACCGTGTTCCGTACTGACTACATGAGATGGTAAGGTTTCTACAATGAAAACATAGTTCCAAGGAACACTGTTGTACCTACACCTGCACACTTCATCAGAAGAAGAGATGGCCTATGTCTAGATCTCTTTGATATTTCAGATGAGTAGATAATCAACCACCGCAAACACCATCCATCTCTATGGTCTCATCAAGGAAGATATTGACCCATTCAGGATGTCTCACAATATACTCACATGTAAATCTGTGTCTGGCATTTCCTGTGATCCAGATGCTTTCCGCAACCAGTAGATTTACCTTTGGAGTATCACAGCCCATACGTTTGTGACTGAGGAGCTGTATGTCTTATGGAAACACATCTAAAGATTTATACAGAACCCCTACATATAGAAGGTAAGTCTGAATTATATGCAAGGGAAAGCATGACACAAAATGTGCTGTTTCAGTATCCAAACCTCCATGTTCCACAGTCCAGATTCTATATGAGTTTTGTAAAGGTGATGGGTAAAATATTAGATTATCCCATCCACAGAAACAATCTAGGTCATTTTATAAAGAATATTATCTACATAAAATCCTACCTTATGAGTTCTAAGGTATCCGCAAAGTGTTCTTGGTCCAGTTAATTAGTTATTTGAAGCAGTCAAGTGCATTGGGGCCATTTCAAGGATTTTTCTCTACACAGCTGAAGAGGCATTTTGCTGCCCACAAATTTTGTCTACACCTGTGTCTATTAACCCCCCCTTTTTTAACCCCCCTTTTGCCCATTTATCCCGTTTGTCATTCCTTTGATGCTTTTGTGTTTCCCCACCTTTTTTGACCTCCTAACATACCTTTGTCTATTACTCTGTTCTGAATGTCTTTTCCCCCCTTTAATGTATATTGGCTCTTTTGACTCCTTCAGTCTCCGCCCCCACAGATTTTCTTACTCCTCCCTGTTGCGTGTCATATATATGTATTGTGACAAAAGTACTCCTTACCTTTGGTACCTTGTCCTGGAATTAGGGGGTTACACACAGTCTTTTCAGGCTTCAGAGACACTTCACACGTTGGATCAGGTAAAATTACTTGCTTGTTTATTATGGTTCCAAAATGTAACAATGTACAATAAGGTACAGCAAAAGTGTAACATAATATAGAAAACAAAATCCTTGCTCTTCTGAGCACTAACAACAAAATAGTAAAGTAACTGGGTTGGATGGCTTGTCCATTTCCCAACATAAATAAACATACATTTTCACCTTACTGTTTTAGGTTCTTTTTCAGTTCTCTCTTTTCACTCACAGGAATCAAAATACAATCTCTACTCCTCCTTTGGCAAGGGAGTACTTAATAGCACCTGCAATTAATCTTTTTTCAGGTGAGGTAAATCAGAGGGTTGAAATTCTGGTACTGTACTCCTCACCTGAAGTTTCCAAGTAACCTCCAAAATGTGGAGTGGAGCACTGAGCCACCCTACTCTTCAAGTGCTCCACCCCACTCTCCATGTACTCCACCCCAGGGCCTAAACATACACTTTTATAAAGTGCAAAATAACTTGTAATACAACACATTTCCCTGGGGTAAATTACACAAAGTAGGAACCTTGCAGAATATGGGGGGGATATATAGACTCACAATTCCTTGTTTTCGGTCACAATATATATATATATAATCTTTTTTAAATGGAAAAAAGTTTTTTTAAATCATATAGGAATGGAAACACTGACACACACTCACTGATCCATACTCATTCTCAATGACAAAGTTTTACTAATCTATACACACACACATGCACTCACTAGCTCATACATAGGCATATACAAACATACTGGGTCAATTATGCTAATTATGTATACATTGCTGCGGGGTATGGTTACACAGCCTGGCAGTCGTATGTACATTAGCACCGGTGTGTGTATTTCTGAGTGTGTCTGACATTGTCTACCTGTGTATGTGTCTGACAGAAAGTATCCTTGTGTGTGAATGTATGTCTTTATGAACATGTGTCTGGCACCATTTGTGTGTTGGGTAGCTGCTTGCGTTGTGTTGTGTTTATGGGGGCTGTCTGTGCATGTGTGTATGATGAATGTCTTCAGTTTGTGACTGTGACAGGGTGAGTAAAGGGGTAACTGTGGAAGGGTGAGTGTGACAGGGTGAGAAGGGGTATATGAGACAGGCTTGGGGGGTGAGTGTGACAGAATGAAGGAAGGTGAGAATGATATGGGAGCGATTGTGACATGGTTGGAGGAGGGAGTGTGACAGGGCATGGGGAAGTAAGTGTGACAGAATTGGAGGAGGTTAATATGACAGGCTGCTTGTGGCATAGTTGGGGGGTGTATCACAGGGTTGGGGTGTATGTGCCATATTTGGAGGAGGCAATGTAACAGAATGAAAGGAGGTGACTGTGACAGCACAGTTGCGTCTCCAGGATTCATACTTCACTGTGACAGCACAGTTGCGTCTCCAGGATTCACACACACAAGCCTCAACAAATTCCAGGCGCCAGGTCGCCATGGCGACTAGACATTTTGCCCTAGTGCCTGGCATTTGTCAGCTCTTTGCTAAGCCACGCAGGAAACATTAGAGCCCGCGAGCATGCAGGGAGCATGGAGATGGCGTGTGAGGGAGCAGTAACCTTCCTCCAGTTCCTCTCTGCTCCCTTGTGTGCTGTTTAGTGACATAACGTCACGCCGCCCCTGGCATTACTACAGAGAGCACGCAGAGGAGCAGAGAGAAACTGCATGAAGACAGAGAGGAGACACACTGGACGCCAGGGAAAGATCCACTTAGCTCCCTAAAGGCTGGAAGGATTTAAATTAAAATAAAAATGGTAATTTGTGAATGTGTGAGAAAATGTGTGTGTGTGTGCGCGCGCAGGTGCGCTGAAAGAGCCTGTAAATTGTGTGCATCTAGGGGCTGCATTGTGTGCTTATCAAGGAGCTGTAGTTATATATATTTATATCAGAGATGTGGTATATAATGGGGTGTAGCATGTATGCATGTGTGTGTGGGGGTAAAGGTATGTGGGAAAATGTGGGTGAAGGGATGATGTGTGTTTATGCAAAGGTGTACTCTGTGTTGGTGGGAGTGTACTGTATGTGGGGGATTCACTGTCTGTGAGGGTGTCCTGTGTTCAGGGGGTGTAGAGAGTGGGACAGTGAAGAGCTTTACAATTTTTACTTTAATAATTGTTTACAAAAAAAATAAAAATAAAAGAATACTCCCCTTTCCCTCATCTTACCTTGCAGGTAGGGGGTGGCACAATCAGATCTGTGGTGCTTGAGAAGGCTGCCTATCCATCAGGTACAGGGGAGGTCACGAGATGAGAGTTCTGTCTCTTGGAGCTCAAGCACTTACAGAAACCCATACAAACCCAGACAGACCCATACACAGACAGACCCCCACACACACACACTCACACAAACTGACCCCCTCACACACAGACTGCCCCACACACACACAGACTGCCCCACACACACACACAAACTGACCCCCCCACACACAGACTGACCCCCCACACCCATATACACAGACTGACCCATACACACAAACTGAACCCCACACACACACAAACCGACCCCCACAGACATAGACTGAACCCCCACACACAAACTGACTCCCACACACAGACGGATCCCCACACACACAGACTGACTCCCACACACACAGACTGACTCCCACAGACACAGACTGAGCCCCCACCCCCACACACAGACTGATCGCCACACACACAAACTGACCCCCCACACCAATACACACACACAGACTGACCACCTCCCCAACACAGACTGACTCATACACACAAACAGACCCCCACAGACACAGACTGAACCCCCACCCTGACCCCCCTACACCAATACATACACAGACTGACCCCCCTCCCCACACACACACACACACACACACACACACCAGCAGCTACCTGGATGCCTCTGTGCAAAGCTCAGCTTCCTCTCCTTGTCTCTCCCCTGTGCTGCTCTCTATGACCCAGGAGAAAGTCCTCCCAGCACAGCGCCTCCTCTAGCCGCATGTTGGATAAGAAAAGTCCACCAGTAACAGTGCTGCCACAGCTTGTGAAGGGCTATGCAGTGCTCCCAACTTTAATTTCAATTGGGGGGGCACTGCATGCCCCCCCCCCACTAGTGATGCCACTGTGTGACAGGAATAAGGGGGTTAATGTGGCAGGATTAGATTAATGTGAAAGGGTGAGTGTGGCAGGGTTGGGGGGGAGAGTGCTACAGGCTTTGTGGTGAGTGTGGCACAGTTGGAGGACAGAATTGGAGGGGTTTATGTGGTACGGCGAGTGTGGCAGGGTGAAAGGGGTGTGTGTGACAGTGTTGGAGACTGAGTGTGACAGTGCAAGAGAAGGTTGAGTCAGACAGGATTGGGGGGGTTAATGTGATAGGGTAAGTGTGGTAAGAGAAGGGCAGGTGAGTTTGGTATGGCTGGAGGGGGTGAGTGACAGGATTAGGAGGGTTTAATGTGAGTGTGGCTGGGTGAAAGGGGTGACAGTGTGTGGGGGCTGAAAGTGTTTGGGAATGGTGATAGCGTATGTTTATAGGGTGACAAAGTGTGATGTGTTACAGTGTGTGCATAGGGATGATATGGTGTGGGTGGGGGTGACAGAGTGTGTGTGTGTGGAGGGGTGACAGGGTGTGTGGCTGGCTGTTGGATGACAGGGTAGGGGGGATGGGATAGGTTGACAGGGCTGAGATGGGGCCTGTGACATGGTAGGGGGGCTGTGACAGGGTAGGGGGTGGAGTGGCTGTGACATGGGGTAGAAGGGGTGGAGGGGCTGTGACAGAGGGTGGAGGGGCTGTGACAGGGGGTAGAGGTAGTGGAGGGGCTGTGACAGTGGGTAGAGGAAGATGGAGGGGCTGTGACAGGGGGAAAAGGGGTGATGTGGCTGTGACAGGGGGTAGAGAAGGCTGGAGTGGCTGAGACAAGGGGTAGAGGGGTTGTGACAGGGGGTAGAGAAGGGTAGAGGGGCTGTGACATGGGGTGGGGAGGTGGAGTGGCTGTGACAGGGGGTAGAGGGGGTGGAGAAGGTTCATAAATAACTTCCCTGGTGGTCCTGTGGATTCCCCTGGTGGTCCATTGGGCGCCCTCCCTCCCCGGTGGTCCAGATCTTCAGACAGAGGGTTACCACGGCAATGCTCTGACAGGCTGGAGAGAGCGAGACACCTCAGTCTGCAGCTCTGCACCCAGCGGAGCTGCAGACCAAAGGCAGTGATTGGCTCTCAGTCAGGGCAGACTGACTAGAGGGGCCTTGTACCCGGCTGCATAAACGGCAAGCTGCCGGGCCCCATCCTGTGTCGAGCACTCAGTCATAGACCGAAGACCCAACATGGGGGTCTGCCCTAAGGCGATTTAGGCGGACGCGAGGCCCCAGACAGCACGATACATTAGGCGGCCGTGACACCCACATGTCCACGAAACCCACACTCTGAGTGGGGAAATCTGGATGCAGTAACCCCTGCTTCCCAACCAGCTCCCGAAATGGAAGACCTCATAGTCCTGGGAGGACATCCCGTTGGCTGGTGCAGATGGGACCGAGGTGCAGCTGGACCAGATCCCCAACAGCAGCTAGCCTCACTGGAAGGGAGGACAGCCAGTCCCCCTTCCCAACCGCAGCTGGAGGTACCAGAAGGGAGGACAGTTGGTCCTACTCCCTAGCGGCAGCATGCTTTACAGGGAGAGGAGACAACCGGTTTCTCTCGCCAGTGGCAGCCGGAGATACCAGGAAAGGAGACAGCTGGTCCCTTTCCTCAGGGTTAATAGTTGAGATTACTTGAAAAGAAACCTCTGTCTAGAGAATAAATTATGGCAGGGCTAAAACTGCTCAACTGGGAAAAAATAGAGACTCTTCTAAAAAATCCCTAATAGTGCAAACATAAGAAAAATTATTAAATAAAAATTGAATAAAGTATCCAGGAGTAGTTTATAGCTTTAGACTGATATTTATGCAATGGTTATAGATTGCAGAAAACTATTCAATAAAATGAAGCAGTAGTATCCAATATTGTGCTTTCACTGAAAAAGAAACTTGAAACTTTAAAGTCCAATATATTACAGTCTTATGATTAATATTATATAGAAAAAAAAAAATGACAGTCTTTTAGAATCTTAGTTTGTAAGCTAATTAAGTTAACTCCAGTTATTGATGCACTGGTATCTGGATACTGAATTATTTATTTAGTATAGTACAAGATAACAATGTATGTGGTCCTTATAATTGAAATATTGTATCTTGTACCAAAAGAGGAAACATAACATAACCAACAGACTATATTAAGTAGCCTTTAGTTATAGTAATACTTTATTCCTAATTATAGGAAATAAAGTTATAAAATCCAAGTGCTGATAAAAAATATTTATTGTAGAATAAGCTTTGTATAAAAAAGTAAAAGATACACTCACATTGTATAAAATATATGCTGGATTTGAAGCAGGAGGATGGTGTAAGCAGCTGGGAAAAAAATAAACTGTCCAATCGTCAGATGGATAGATGGATCGGTGATATTCAAGCCGCGTGCGTTTCACCGAGCTCCCCTTCTGCGTTCCAGATAGAAGTCGGCAGTTTTTCGGTAGATGCCGGAAAGCAATGCAGTGTCGTCCTGAATGTCGTCCTTACGCGTTACGTGAGACTTCTCTCACTTCATCAGGAGTCCTCTGAGAAATCTCACGAAACGCGTAAGGACGACATTCAGGACGACACTGCATTGCTTTCCGGCATCTACCGAAAAACTGCCGACTTCTATCTGGAACGCAGAAGGGGAGCTCGGTGAAACGCACGCGGCTTGAGTATCACTGGTGCCTTTCCTCAACTACTATTGGAGTGGAGACAAGAAAGGCAAACGTTGCCAGGAAGGAGCTTCTTGGCAGGATCACGTTTGGACAAAGTGTGCCACCCAGAGAAGTGAACCTAAGCCTAAACCATAGAGGATGGAAACCAAGGAGGGTATAGGATCATGGCCCAAAAAAAATAAAACAAAATAGCGACCAACCCGGAAACGACGAATGGACAAAAACCAGCAGGTGATGCGGGAGAAGGAAGAGAGACCCAGCAACCAGAGCACAGAACACGCCTGCGACCCTTACAAAAGCACAACCGAGCGAACCAAAACGCAGAAAGACACACAAAACGTGAACAGGGCATGGGGAAAACAAGACGAGCGTTAAGAGGCGAACACGATAGCAAAACACAAGGCAGAAACACCACAGCCAAACACCCACACAAAGCAAACCCAGATAAAACAAAACACACATAGCAGAGCCACACATCCACAACACCACGAAACCAGTCACTAGCACAGCAAGGAAGAAACCGCAGAAACCCAGCAATGTAAAAACGGAAAGGAATGACCGCCCAACCCTGTAATCCAAGCCCCCCAGAAAGAGCCGCAACGAGAGCGCCGAACACGGCACTAAATAGCAAGACACACTCGATCAGTACAGCCCGCACATCTGTGGAATGCCGGAAAAACAGCCGAACAGCCCGCAACTCACACCCCAATAAAACCCCCACAGACGCATTTAAAAAAAATACCCACCCGACAGCTCAGCAACCCACTCAGCCAAGCCCCCTGCCCCATCACCCCCTTTTAATGGGACCCGACGGTGTGCAGAGAAGCACCCACCAGGCCAACTCACTGGTCGGCGATAGGACCCCACGAAACCGGCAGGCGTCCGGATGCAGCAGCAACAGGACCTCCGCGAAGCGACGGTACAGGGAAACCCAGGTAAGTGAAACTCGCCAGGCAACCATGGTAAAGTGTGAGAGGATTGGATGCCCTTATAAAGGAGAAAATAAAATAAAAGAGAAAATAAATAAAAGAGAAAGAGAAAAAAAAAGTCTCTACGTATATACAAACAAAATATAAAACAAAACAAGTATGCCACAGAAACCAGATATTTATCTATTGTGATATCCAAATCTAATCTAAGAACCTAAAATAAAGTCATGCAATATGATGTCTTACAACAACCAAATAGAACAAAGTAAAACATAAACATGATGTCTAATGCTTGTATATACATAACGAAATAATAATATATCACTTATGATTAAGATATAAACATAATATTCTGAATCAGCACAAAAAAAATTAAATATAACGATTACGACAAAGAACTAAACATAAGCATTCTGGAGAGTTTGACAGAAGCTTCAACTGTCTAAGAGTTGTGCTAAGAGCTTTCTTTTCTACTGTTACAGGTAAGATTCATCTGTAGGAAAAGGTTACTGATTGCACAAGGTTTGAATTCCTGTTGGTAATAAGGCATTTGATTTGATGTCAGTTGCTTGCTGTTGATTGCTGGTTAATTAGCTATTGTTTGCAAATAAACAGAGGCTTACCCAGGTGTTAAACATTCCTAGTGGGTGGTGATTTTAGGAGTTATATAAAGTTTGCTGTCATTAGCTTGGCTAATATAGCTTGGTTGCTTCACCTAAGTGTTGCTTCTAAGTGTGTAATTGGAGATATTCTGGAGAGAAACTGGAGGTAATCTGAGGTATTCAGGAGGATAAAGAAAAAAGTTAAGATTAGTTTGAGTTCAATTATTTTCCTCATTGGAATGGCAGACTTAGTTCAGTGTAATAGTTGCTATGCATTTGTTTCACGTTCTACTTTTTGGAGATTTGGTTGTTTTTCTAATCTGTAGACAGTTCTCTATCTTGCAGCAGGAGATTGTATTTTTGAAGTCTGAGCTTTGTAAATTATCTGGTGAACAAACTCAGACTGGAACTGCTGCAAAGCCGCTGCCGCAGAGACATACTAGGAATGGCAGATGGATTACTGTAGGATCTGGTAGACTTAGAGTTGTGGATAAAAGGCATTTTGCACAGTCTGTTGCTCTACGTAATTCATTTTCTGCACTTTCAGAGTGTAATGGTGTTGTGGAGAAAGGCACTGAGGCTAGTGGTGTTGTGGAGAGAGGCACTGAGGCTAGTGGTGTTGTGGAGAGAGGCACTGAGGCTAGTGGTTTTGTGGAGAGAGGCACTGAGGCTAGTGGTGTTGTGGAGAGAGGCACTGAGGCTAGTGGTGTTGTGGAGACCGGCTTGGAGACTATGGTGAGGCCTAATAGAAAGCAGTTGTTGTTAGGGGATTCGATCATAAGAGGTGTGGAGATGGACAATGAATGGTGGTCTTGTGAGGTGTCTTCCCGGAACTACTGCTCACAGAGACAGGAGACGTATCTGTAATATTGTTAAGCAAGCAAAGCAGGAAGGGGAATTGGATGTACTTGTCCATCTAGGGACAAATGACTTGGCTTGCAATGAGGTTTCAGAGGTTAAGGAAGTTTTTAGTGTTTTTGCCAATGATATACGGCAGGTTGCTTCCACACTGTCATTCTCTGAAGTTCTGCCTGTGCATAACACTCAGAACGACAGGCGGATGCGTATTAGGGACTTTAATTTGTGGCTTGGTGAATGGTGTCGGGAGCAAGGATTTGGCTTTATTTCTCATGGTAGCTTTGTATGGAATGGAAATAAGCTGTACAAAAAAGATGGTTTGCATCTTTCTCAAAAGGGAACAAGTGTTCTCAGTGAGCAGTTCAGAGGTTTTGCTAGGATGTATTTAAACTAGGAGGGGGGGGGGGCAAAAGGGTGATAAAACATCAATCCAATTGTCCCCCAAAACAAGGACAGAAGGTGCCTGTAGCAAGTGTGTTAAAAAATGATAAGCTTAGAGTCATGTCTACAAATGCTCGCAGTTTAGGGAAAAAGATCCATGAACTTGTGGCAATAATGGCAACTGATAGTGTAGATTTAGTCGCTGTTACTGAGACATGGTATAATGAGAAAAATGACTGGGACATAGCAATACCAGGGTACTCTTTATATAGAAAAGATAGGGAAGGCAAGAAAGGGGGAGGGGTGGCCCTGTATGTGAAGGATAGCATAAAATCTAGCCTAATAAAAGTTAGTGAGACAAACATAGAGTCTGTTTGGGTTACGTTAGAA